AGGCCGGGGCCTTCTCTCCTTTCAAGCTTTTCACTCCGCTGCCCGATAGCACCTTTTTTCGAACTTGATTTCTGCAGAGCCGCGCGTCAAGGCTCATCTGGCACCTTCGGCCTTCGACAGCAGAGTAACATAAGATGGCTCAGACGACTGATGAGTGATTGTAAGAGAAACCCCCCTACAGTCCCTTTAATGAAACCTAATGAAACCGTTATATCCCCCCAAAACCCTATTCTAATCATTATGCGGCCCCCTACATTAAGTAAGTGCCCTAAACCCTAAACCCTTAAAACCTAGATTAAGTGGGTGCCCTAAACCCTAAACCCTATATTAAGTAAGTGCCCTAAACCCTATACCCTAAACCCTATTTTAAGTAAGTGCCTTAAACCCTAAACCCTATATTAAGTGAGTGTGGAGCCTTTTGGGAGGATGCAGATGGACACCGCCCGCTGCACCGATGTCTCCTTGCCCCTCCCTGCGAGGCCAACAGCAAAGGAGTCTAAGGATCGATGTTGCGTTTAGGCTCTACGGGTTTAGGGTTTAGCGTTTAGGTTCTACTTTTGGGGTGTTGGTAATCCGAGTTGAGTGTCTAGGGCATGGGTCGTTGAGGGTTTGAAAGCTTGTCGGTGAGCCTCATATAAGCGTGAATCGAGAATGTAAGTGTAGCCCGATCAGCCTGATGTGCTATTACCCAGAGGGCCCACATATACTACCATTATGGAATTAAGCCCCAAAGACCATCCTTATTATGGTTTTTGGGACCTAATTCCATTATAGTAGTATATAAATAAATAAATATATATATATATATATGTATATATATGTATATATATATATATGGACCCTCTAGGTTAGTGGCCTAGAACGTTCCAGTGCTTCCGGCTGTTGCAAGCCTTTGTCGGCTGAGCCTAGGGACAAAAGGCTTGAGTTGAGGTGTGTTTGCGCTAAACCCTAAACCCTAAACCCTAAACCCTATGGCATCGGCAGCTTTCAATTTGTCACACCAATAGCGCACACATGGATCCTCGCCTGGCTTGTCCGAGTTGTGAGAGTGTAAACCCTATGGTGGCATTCTTGGAACTGCGAGGTGTGGGGTGTAGCCAGGGATTTTAATCGCGTGAACGCGGATCGTTCCCTTCCAGGAGGGTTGGAGGTATTCATGAACATTGTGCTGCTACTTTTTATGTGCATGCACATAAAAAGTAGCAGCACAATGGTGGCATTCTTGGAACTGCGAGGTGTGGTGTGTAGCCAGGGATTTTAATCGCTTGAACGCGGATCGTTCCCTTCCAGGAGGGTTGGAGGTATTCATGAATCGGCGGTCTGCACATTCACTATTCCCAACCTGAACTGGCGAATTTGGAGCCCGTAAAGTCTCGCATACACCCTAAACCCCTAAACCATACAGCCCCAATCCTGAAATCCTAGACCGAGAGTCTTAGAGCCTCAATCCCTCAACCCCCAAACCCTAAAGTAAGGTTTTGGGTTTACGGTTTCGGGTTTACGGTTTAAGCTTTATTGGGTTTAGGGTTGTTTAAGGTTTAGGGTTTAGGGTTGCCCGAACTTGGCCCTAAACCCTTTGGGCTGACCAGGGCCGATGGTCGGCACTTTCCCAGACGATGAAAGCCCTGCTGGCCGCTCGCGCCTCACCGAACGCAGCGTCACCCGGCGCGGTTTGTTCTAGGCTTTACCAAAGACCCACCTTTTGAGGGTTCCTTACTTTGGTTTCTATATATTGTTCCTTGAAAATCTTTTGGGCCACGGGTAGGGTTTAGGGCCGCACTGTAGGGGGTTGTTGTTTCTTATAAGGTTGTCTTTGTTCCTGGGATTTCGGAATTAGGATGTAGAGTTTATATACAATTCAGAACGGGCCACCTTGGGAGTGCTCCCACAGCGACCCGGACTCTTATAATTTATAGGGGTGGCAAACGTTTGGCTGACGCTTTCGGATTGACGGGCTTCGGGCGCATGGACGATACAGCATGACTTCTTGGTTTTTATGGTTGCACTCTATATATACATCCCAATCCCGTTTACGGACTGGGATAAATGATTATCGGTTTGGGGTTGAGGTTTTAGGATCGACAGTGCAGCCCAGGAACCCCAACCGCACACATCTGCAAAGCCATATACTATAGAAACCACATACGACGCAGTCTTCGCTCACCGCAAGACTCCTGAAACCCTATATTGAGGAACCCGAATAGCCCCCAATACTACGCATCACAAGGACCCTTTATTGGTGACGTACCAAGCCCAATTAAAGCCTCGAGCTGTTCATAAGCCCTTCCCCACAAAGGACATGGAAACTAACCATGACAACCCTTTTGCCCAGCATGGCCCTCTCCGCTATCAAGCAGCCTTCAAGAGAAGAACAATCGACTCCCGCACTCCCCTGACCAACAAAACAAACAAGAACGTAGACCCCTGAGCCAACCCCGAAATAAGCACCAACCCCAACATCCCCCATCATCGAAAAAGCTCATGCCATAGAAGCTGGAATGATAGGTAATACGATGCTTAGGGTTCCGTACTATACTTTTACTACAATATACACCCCCCCAAACCCGATTCTGTTTATGAAGGCCCCTAGGCAAGCAAAAAGGCCCTTAGAATCACCTTACATACCTTTTAGAAGCCGCAGAAACGATACAGAACCCTTACTATACCTCTAAACCCAGAGACTCCAATATCCCTTAATTAAGGAATATATCTTAAATCATATAGGGGATCCTACTATAATTTAAGGTGTATTCCTTAATTAAGGGATATTGGAGTCTCTGGGAAGGAACCTTTACACGGACCCTAGAATCACTCACAAACCCCATTCAACCCCAGCAAAACCTCTAAAACCTAAACCCTCAACCCTCAACCCTGTCTATGAAGGTCCCTAGAATCACCTTGCCTTTTACCTACACAATACAAATCACTACAATAGAATTACCAGCATAAACTGAAGGTCCCTAGAGCCCTAAACCCCAAACCCCTTAGCCCTAAACCCTTTACTCTAAGCCCTAAATCCGAAGCCTTAAACCTTGAACCCTTAACCCTAAACCTTGAACCCTAAAGCCTTTCCTTTGAGGAGTCGCGATGCCGAGTCCCCGCTGCTGCTGGCAGTCAGAAGTCTCGGCGGCGCAACCGGAGACGAAGGTCCGCGTTTTGGGTTCCCCGTCTTTTTTTTCGGCCTTGGGTGTAGGGAAGATAGAGCGGGAGCTTGGAGTTTTGAAGTTCAGGGCATGGCGGGAATTGGTTCCTCTTTTCAGTTGCTTCTCTAGTCCGCTCGAGCTATCGACTATGGAGGCCTTGCCTTTGTCGGATTAAGGTGAAGATCCCCGTTGGTTTAAGGTTCGGGCAGATAGTAATCCTGAGTCCCGCATGGTCTATGTATTTAAGGTAGAACCCATGGGCCCCTAGTATGGGCCCTTAACCCTGGGACCCTAATATACCGACTATATACCCTATATATACACTTAAGGGACCCTAGAGTCCCCTAAGGGCCCATGTTAGGGGCCCATGGGTTCAACCTTAGAATGTAGCCATGTTCTGCGAGCCCCCAAGAACGAGTTGTCGTCTCCAACCTGCTGCTGCTGTTGTCCCGCGCGAATCCCCGCCTGACATGACATGTTCGAGCGCGAGTGCTTAACAAACTTAGTGGTGGCGTCTGTCGTTTGGGTGCAACAGCTGTTTTATCTGGAGCTGCGTTGGGTTTTGGCTATAACTTCAAGGCATCAGTGGCAACAATTATCTTTTGATTGACTAGCTCCGGTTCTTTAATGTATTCTAGGGGCCTGCATCATGCTGAACGGATTTTCTGCTACGATAAATTATGTACAGTGACTCGAAGGGGTGTGGTTACGAATTTGGTCAGATCTCCATGTTAGACAGGTTCGCACGATCTCAGGCAATAATATGTGCCGGTAGATTGAAGGTACACCCCAAACATACCCTCAACTGTCGAGCCTCGTCGTTTCAGGTTAGAGAAGGCAGAAAGCCTTGAAGCTTCGTCCTCCCAAGCCCTAAATTCGAAACCCCAAAAGTCCTGGCCCCAAGCCCCAAGCTTGAGAAGAAGGGGTCGAACCGGTAAGCCGCACCTCTGCGAGTCTCGATGTTATTTTTTCTTTTCCATACCTTGCTCACCTTCTTTTGGGGGAATCTGTAATGGCCCTATGAAGAGCCCAAGTTATTTATTACATTTGGGATAGTTGAAATCGACACTTAGCAACCAGTATGCCAAGTCCACAAGTGAACCTAAACCCTCAACCCTAAACCCTAACAGCAGGTCACAGATTGCAGATACTTCGTCAACTTCTGAAGGCGAGTGCAGACAGCAATCAGGGCGACCACCAGGACCACTTTGGGCGGATGATTTGGGGTGTTATGGGGGGTTTAGGATTTGCGGTGACGAGGGATTATTAGTGAGAGGCACTGTGCAAATGGCTGCTGCAAGACGCCTTGGGTTCGGGGGCTTTGACGTACCTGCGGATTCCCCAGTCAGACCCTGAGTCTGAAGATAGCATGCAAGACAGTGCTAAAAGAGCGTTGTCATTGAATCAGGGTCTTGGGATTTGTTAGAGTAGAATTCCGAGGAGTAATCTTGCAACCCTCCCCCCCCCATATTGCGATGTGAGGTGTATGCATGAACTGCAGATCTACTTGGAAAGGCCAAGTGGTGCCTTTCACGAGATGGCAGATTTCTTCCGATAGCGGCTTCCCACAAAACGCGCAAGCCCCAAATGCTCAACACACCCCGGGTCCTCACTATCCGGTGAACACGAACACCCCGAAACCAGCTCAATACTGAAGACCCTAAGATGCAGACATCCTGTGCCTTTTTGCTCCGGGAAAGCAGATGGTACTTAATATAGGGGCCTAAACATCAACAAAAATATGTGTTATGTTGAGGGGGGGGGGGGTCCGTATTATGATTATAGTCTAAAAGGCCCCAAAACCGTATTCTAACAATTCCGGCCCCTACATTAGGGTCCTAGGCCCACGCTAAGGCCCCGAGGCCAGAGGCCTGTTTTTGAAGGGGCCTACTACTACTATTAGGGTTTATGGTTTAGGGTTTACTATGATTACTACTAGGGTTTAGGGTTTACCATGATTACTACTAGGGTTTAGGGTTTACTATGATTACTACTAGGGTTTAGGGTTTACTATGATTAGGTTTCTCGGCCCCTCCAAAGCCCAAGGGCTCAGGGCAGGGCTTGAATTGAAGGGTCTCGGGTCTCAGGGCTGAGAGTCACTAGTACGATGATAATTCAGATTATTACTATGATTATTATTATTATTATAACTAATCATTATTATGATTGTTATTACGATTATTAGTTTTTGCTATAAAAAGCTAAGGGTTAGGCTGGTTGAAGGTTTTGGGTTTCTGAAAGTTTGGGGTCCTGAAGCTTAGCTGAAGAGGACACGACCCCTCTCATGGAGGCTGTCCGAGTCGGTGACGCCGAGGCTTTGCAGGGGAGGGTCAGGAGAAAAAGACAGCTTCTGATGAATCAAGCCACAAACCATGAACCTCAAACTCTGACGAACACGGGTCTATTTCTGATAGATGGAGTTCGAAACCTCCAACCCTAAGCGCTGAAATCTCAAGCTTTCGGGAGGGGGGCGGGCAGCAAGAAACAAAGCACAACGAACAACATCGAAGAGCTTCTGCCATGGAGGCCTGTTTTGAGATTTTTACCCTAAACCCAAAACCCTGAACAGTTTGAGGTGTAGGGCGGAGCTTTACGTGTTTGTGCATCCGAAACACTGAAGCCTTCAGGCCCTCCAGGCTGCTCCAGCGTAACTTTCGTGTGGCCCTTCTTCCTTGCACCTAATCAGGGTTTAGGGTTTAGGGTCCAGGGTTTAGGGTTTAGGGTCTAGGGTTTAGGGTTTAGGGTTTAGGGTCCAGGGTTTAGGGAAATGGGGTTTAGGGTCTAGGGTTTAGGGTGTAGGGTTTAGGGTTTAGTGTCCAGGGTTTAGGGTCTGGGGTTTAGGGTTTAGGGTTTCAGTCAGTCGGGTTGTGGCTTTTGGCGGGATGTTTTTTTTTGTAATGATGGGTTTTCTGGAATCGACCCTCCCCGATTCTCGATCCTGCCGGCTTTAAATTGTTCGAGCACACGCAACAGAGTCATAACGGCTCAGAGGAAGCCAAACAACCGTTTTTAGTCTCGAGGTGGCTTATGAGTTGCGGGTGTTCTCTTACAGTCTGCAAGCATGAGTTGTGGAGTTTCCGCAAAGAAGGAACCCGTTTGCGAGACCTGCCCTACATAGTAGGGTCCACACTAGAATGATAGAGATGGGCCCCAAAAATCCAGACCCTTCCGGTCCCGCAGGTAGCACTAGTGCTACTCTACCACATAATTACGTCAAGTCTGGAATTTCTGGAAAAGTCGAAATGTAGAATAATAACAGAAAATAATTCGCACATGACTGTTATTCTTCACGGTTCCTCACAGCACTGTCACTAGCAGTGAATCAGCACGAATCAACGTAGTAATCGGTCGAGGTTTGCCAGCTACTTCTGGACCGGGGCTGTGCCGCAGATCGCTGTGGTGGTGCACGCGGCTGCCTGGCTTTAGACGGGTCGGCGTGTGGGGACGCTTAGGGAAGTTTAGGGATTTAGGGTCGAGGGGTTTAGGGATTTAGGGTTTAGGGTTCAGGGGTTGCGGGCCGGCACCTCAGTCCGTGCTGAAAAGGGGTTTAGGCATGGGCAGTAAGGGCAGCAGTCGAGCCCCTTGTGAAAATAAAGGGTTTAGGGATGTAGAAGGGTTACAGGGTTTGGGATTTGGGGTGTGTGATTCGGGGCTCAGGGTTCCAAGTTTTCGCTTCGGGGGGCGTTGGATCTTAGTTACTGCCAACTCGGACTAGGGCCTGGAGAAGAAGAAGCACTTATTCGAGCTGTTGCCCTAAACCCTAAATCTTTTAATTTTAGTTGTCGAACTAAGGTAACTATAGGCCTAAACATAGACCCTCAGGTGTCCATTGTAGTTGTGGATGTTCTCTAAAGATTTGGATCCTGAGCCAAAACCTCCTCGCAGGAGCCCACCACCCAAAGCGCCCTAAGTCATGGGGGTACACTTACCCAAACCATAACACTACCACTGTCTACTAATATAGGGGCCTTAATAAATAGAATCGAGTTTAGGGGCCCATTGTACTGTAATTATAATGATAAGCAGCCCCCAAAAAAGTAAAGGAAATTATTTAGGCCCCTTACACTAGATAGGTACGTAGGACCCTGTGGGCCGGCAAAGCCGAGATCCATGGGCCCTGAACTCAAGCGGCCCCCAAACCGCTAGCAAGCAAGCCTTTAGCCCGCGGATTACAATGACCCAGAAATCATATGGGTAGTTGTCAAAATTATGGTCCCTTTTGGGGTACCCTAAATAATAGGTGCCGTATTATAACAAGGACCCCAAAAGGAACCATAATTTTGACAACCACCCATATCACTAGTAATGGTAGCATTACGTCTTGTTGTGTCATTGCCACCATATTTCTATGTGGCCAAAGACTACCTTTCCAAAGGGCCCAAGGCCCCGAACTCAACTCCCACTTCGCAAGAAACCCTAAACCCTAAACGGTTTAGGGTTTAGGCCCTGAGTCTGGGTTCAAAAGGGTTTTGGGCCTGAGGTCTGTCAGCGATCGACGCGGCCTGGCTGCCCGGGCCACTCCGGAAGCAAAAGCCCAGAGAGTCGGCAAGTAGGGCTTCTTTGCGGGGTTGCATGGGTCCCTAAGCCCTACACCCCTAAATCCGAAACCCTATAGCATAAGGTTTCGGAATATGCCTCAAGTCAGAGCATGTCTGGCATATTCCTCTACTACGGGAAGTTTGCCCTTTTGGGTCAGCCAGATGATTCAGCACCTCAGCCCTGTAGGCTCCCCGAAACCCATAGTGGCCCCTTGTCACCCTCCAGTAACCCCCAAAAAGCGAGCAGAACTGCAGAGTGGAGGATTTCGCTCCGAAGTGAGCCTTGAAGGTTTCGGTTTCGGGATCTAGGTCTTTGCAAGTAGGGTTGCAGGTTTTAGGGCTTAGGGTGCTTAGGGTGCTTAGGATTTCGGGTGCAACTTGCTGAGTGCTCTCCATAGGTGCTGGTGAACGGTTTTGATGATATTATCACTGGGTATTAGCGTGACAGTTGCCGCCAGGCCCTTCGTAAGGCCCCTACAGCACACACAACCTCAAAATGCTGGTCAACTCCCATTGAGTACAGTAGGCCATTAGATGAGGGTCGCTGGGCATCTCAAGCCAACTAGATGGCGGTTTAGGGTCCCCTAAACCCTCAGGGCCTCGCCGGGTTTCCAACTTCAGGTCCGCACCGGCCGTGCGTGCAGTGTTCGAAGCGCAGGGCTTGAAACCTGGCGGGAGTCGCGAGGCCTCTCGGGTTTCTGAAAACTGCGTTCAGAGTTTAGGGGTTTAGGGCTTTGGGTTTCTATGACGGTTCCTGCAGTGCAGATGATTGAGGGCCTGGGATTTGGCGCAGGATTTCCGATTCGAGCTTTAGGATTTGTTTGTGATTTGGAGCTCTACATCTGTCGGCTTTGAGGATCAGGGTTTTGGGGTGTTTTTGGCTTCAGGGCATGGGGCTCAAGGCTAAGTAAGAAGCATCGCTGGGAGCTATTCCACGAGAGTCCGGCCGAAGGAAGGTGCAAAAATCCAGTGTGGGCCCCTACCCCAAGCATCCACAGGGACAAGTAGATGCCCGGGTGCAAGATAGTAGGCTTAGTAGCTGAGGGAGTAAGGGAAGTAGCCTGAGAAGGCCCAGAAGATTCCGGACATCATAAGTCTAACCCCAAAGCCTAAACGCTAGATATACTGTCCCTGTAGTTGCCCGAGGTTGTCATGGAGTCCCTTGTTGTTGCTTCCCTTACCTCCTGACTTTGCGACCTGACAGTAAACAAGGCAAGTATTTTCAAAAGCAGGCAATGCAGGCTCTTAGTGCTCTTGTTTACAGGTCCCATACGCGAGGTGTCAGTCCCCTGTATTTCCATGTACTGGTAGATTATTCCTTACAAAAGCATTAAGCTTTCATCCTAGAGCCATAGAGGAAACTTGCACCTCCCTCCCCTCCCAAAACTAGCTTCGACGCCTCAGCCATAGTATCACCCCGACTGTACCCTTTAAATCCTCGCCTGGCAAGTCCGAGTCGCGCGTGCGTAAAGCCCCACGCCCGAGCTGTGATCCCACCCACACCAGAAGTCAAGAAGCTGTTTTAGCTGAGCAGAACTCAAACCCACCTCCACTAAGCACCCAAGGGCTGAAGGTTCTACGAATTGAAAGCTTTTTTCCGGGCTTTTGGTAGGTTTAGGGGTTCCTAAACCCTAAATGCAGACGCGGCGCAGGCACAAGAAACCAACCTCGACGAAGCCCAAAGCAAGGCTGGGACAGTGCACCAGAGACTTCCCAGTGCGTTTTTACAACGGATTTAGTTTAGGGTTTCAAAACTCTAATTTTGGGGTTTAGGGGTTGAGGCTTTGGGGGGGGTGCAGAAAATGAAGTTTGCCGCGGATTAACTGACAGAGCTCGTAGCTTCACGGGGTGAATTCTGTGTTAGCGGTGTATGGAGGTGTTGCACGGTTTTTGTTCTTGGGTATTCTAGTCCGGCAAGTTAGTCTGAGTTGCCATCATAGGGTCTGCAGCGAAATTAGACGCCTTCCTTTTCATCCTCAACGCTAACTAACAGAGAACACGAAAGCTACATGCCAGCTTAGAGTGAGTGGCTGAACAAGATCCCACATCTCCGAAGCCAAGAAAGCTCACCTCAGAAGGGGCCGTTTTGCTAGATGATTCTTTTCAGACCGCTTTCGAGTTTACTTTTTAAGGTTTGTATTCTCAGGGCTTTCTACAGAGGCATGATCTACCCGAAAACCTTAACACAACCACGGTTGAGGCTTCGCATATGAAGCATGCGAACCGTTCAGCTGTTTGCAAGTGATGCGACCAACTCTTCTTTTGGTTATGAGTTGACAAGAACACAAGGTCTATGCATATGTTCTACGAGCTTTAAATGCCGGGGGTTGCTAGTTGTGCTTTCGGTGGCCCTAGGCCCTAAACCCTAAACCCTAAACCCTAAACCCCTAGCCTGTAAGGAGTTCCTGGGACTAGGACCTGAGCAACCAACTCTCAAAGCCGGATACAACCCTTTCAAGGAGCCTTCGAAAAACCAATAGGATCCTAATAATATAGGAAGCCTTAATAATTACCTAGGCTATTTTGGGGGCTCCTTACTATAATCATAGTACCTACCATATACCCCAAAACCCTACTCCAATTCTTAAGGCCCCTACATTAGGCACCCTCCGCAGGCATCCTTCGAGGTCCCAATCCGACAAGCCTGAAAGGGTTTCCTAGGGTCCGCTGATGTCAGGTGACCCTGCGCCACGTGACTACGCTTCTGGAGCGGACTGTGCCATTGCGGAAAGGTAGCTTCATAGGGTTGCTCGTTAGGGGTTGACGGGTTTGTCTAAAGTCCAGTCAGGGTGTGCATGCTGTGGGTTTTAATCGCACCGCATGCTGACGGGTTACCCTCTACAGGCAGGATTGATGGGTTCAGGATGAAGCCGTTTTCAGTCCTATATGTACAGAGCGCGTCCAGACAGAATGCGCGTCTGCTCTCGGATAGGAGTACGCATGGATCCGTCCGGTACCCCACAAAGCAGCAGGCAGGACGGTGTTTGTATACTAATGTCACAGATACTGCAGATGAACTAACAATATCTACAGAACAAGAAGCCCGAAAACGCTAAAGCCTTAAACCGTACAACCCCACCCTGCTAGAAGCCTGAAAACCGCACAAATAAAAAGCCCTGAAGCTCGAAGGCCCTCAACCCCTAGGGACGTCTTCCCTTCATTTGTTGGCAAAGGTTTGCGTGCCCGTGAATGCCTGCATCCGGGATGTGAAGAAACTCATCGTCCGCCTCACGAATCGAGGCCGAGTTCTCAGGGCCCTGAGATTGGGCTCATGATAGAGCTTATATGGCTTGACCTTTGCAATCGGGTTTACGGTGCAAGCCGCCTTTCGTGGGATCCCTATAATTCTAAGCATAGGACTTATAAAAGAAGGAGGTTATGGTGGCAGCTGCATGTCACGAGTAAGAGAGCCCTATCACAGTTCTTATTGGGTCCTCGCTGTCTAGAGTCTAGATCCATATTATTCAGACTCCTATCAGAAATCGAATCACGACCGTACTGTTGTGTCAAGGAGCATTATCTCTGAGGGTCCTCATCGCGTAGAGCCTTATTCTTAAGATTCCCACAAAGCTAGCAGGGCTTTGATATCAGGGCCTTACGATTAAGAGCACTGTACATCGCAATCCCTATGTGGGGCCTCTGAACAGTCAAGCCCCAATACTATCAAGATTCGTGTTCTAGGCCTCATGACGGTGGCTGGACATGTCCTTGTAGACCTTGAACTAAATCTCAAACGAAAAATTATTAAGCCCGAAAGATAACTCCCGGACAGGCTCCTGGCGTCGTGTCGCCCTGCTGTCTGAGTGCGGCAGAGCCTTGTTTCAAGGTTAGGCTTGGGATTTAGTGTGTTTGTGTAGGGTTACCTCAACCTGTGCCGAGCTTCAAGCATGAGTTGTATTTGTAGCAGAAAAGCCGAGTCATAACTTCTGAAGTGTTGGTAGAGTGGTAGAACGTGTAGAAAGGTCATTGGAGCCACATGTACGCAGGATTCAGGTTTATGGCTCCAGGCGATCAGTCGCTTTATTGGCCCTCTTATTCAGGAACCCTAAACCCTAAACCCCGGTATTCAGGAACCCTGATTGCCTTTCTTACATCACGCCAAGCCTTAGCATTGAGGTGGGCTTGTGCTTTCAGACTTAAAGAACCCTGGTTTAGGGTTCTGGTCAAGATTAGGGATCCCCATTTTTAGGGGGTGATCATGCTCAGGATACTGGTGTGTGCGGTCGATGTACTACTGTAGGGTTTCTTCTTATCGAAACTCCTTGGTATGCTGAGTATGAAGGAAGGAGAGAGTTTAAAATCACCCGGCTACAATACGCCCCTAAACCCTAAACCCTAATCCCCCAAACCTCTAAACCCTAAACCCTAAACCCCTAATCAAGCCAATATGCCCCCTTCATGATTCTACACTGCTCGGCTTGTCTTTGCAAAGGAGCGCTCTGCGACAGCGACGGCTTGGGGGGAAGAGTACTGCTGCTGGCCGCATGCCTTGAAGTTGTCGGCAGGATCTGTTGGGGTGTTCTGAATATAGTATGATGGACCCCAAAACCTTAGTTCAATCATTAAGGCCCCTATATTTGAGGGCTGAGTGTTTTCTCTGCCCCTTCTGGCACATCTGAGAGATCCAACTTCAAACCAAGGCCATGGCTGCGTCCTTGGGGTTTAAGCTTCTAGTTCTTTGGGCTTCCCGGGAAGCTTCCCCAAGGGGCCGAGTACTTAATAATCATGTACCCCCCTTCAAAAAAAGAAAGAGAGCATGACCAACATTGCTACTATCTTAAAGGGTCCTTTGGACCCAAGTTGGGGCACTTCGGAGGGGTTCCTGTATGCGTTTACCACGATTTCCTAAAGCTTGTTCTAGATTGTAGGCAGACTCTCCGAAATAGAAATTTCACAAGATAGAGGACACACCATAGCAGGATCCTTCTTCTCAGGGTCCGCAAATAATGTGGTACCATTCAATATGAAAACGATCATTCGAAGCAAAGAAGATCCGGCACCGACAGTCTGAAAGCCGGGACTCTGAAAAACATGATCATGAGGCCCGTGGCTCCGCGGCTTCTGCCCTGCTATTGATGGGTTTGGGAACATTCGGCAAATCTCAAGCAGCTCAGAGACGTTGTTTGTGGCAAGCCCTCGCTCATGATAAATGTTGAGAGGATAATCATTGACCCTAAACCCTAAGCCCTAAACCCCTAAACCCTAAATGCTATTTCAGAGGCTAGACTTATGAGATCCCCGCTATAATCCAAACCCCTTCAGCCCTCGACCCAAACACCCCTTCAGCTTCTTGGCACAGCAACCTTGCACCCCGCAAAGTATAGCAAAGACGAGCTTAGAACCGGTCGTTGGAGAGTTTTTAGAACATGACTGCCCTGAGATAGAACTTAATATGGCAGCATCCGCGTTGAGCACAACTCATTATGCGGATTCCTATCAAGGAAACCCGACACCGTGAACCCGAAACCTGAACAAGCCTCCACCAAACAAGCCCTTAAATCCTACACTCTGAAGCCCACAAGCACCAAGCCCCAACCTACGCTCCAAAGCCCTACCAAACCCCCAAACCGATATGACATTTCAGTACATGACAGTGCATGACAAGTTCAGTTTAATGCCTATCATATACTGATATGCTCGTTTACTAGATATTGTAGTATGATGTAATATAAGATGCGTAAGATATGATATTCTATTATGCTAAATAAAGATACATTATATCATTATAACATATGTCATAACTACAGCCCTAAACCCTAAACCCTAGACCTAAACCCTACACCCCTAAGCCCTAAACCCCTAAACTCTAAGACCCTTAAACCCTAAACCCTAGACCCTTAAACTCTAAACTCTAAAATCCTGAACACCCAAACAAAATAACTACTGACCCATGAAATCTGCCGCGAAGGTCGCCGACGCCCGGTCCGTGGAGGCGCAGAAGGCGGCGGAGGAGCTCCTGCCAGAAGAGGATCGGCCAGAAATGTGCGGTTTAGGGTTTAGGTTTTAGGGGTTAGGGGGGTTAGGGTTTTAGGGTTTAGGGTTTAGGTTTTTTTGGGGTTTAGGGTTTAGGGTTAGGGTTTAGGTTTTAGGGTTTTAGGGGTTAGGGTTTTAGGGTTTGGGGGTTAGGGCCTAGGGTTTTGTGGGTCAAGCTGGGCAGTAAGGGCAGCAGCCGAGTCCCTTGTGAAAAAAAAGGGGTTAGGGTTTTTTTGGGGTTTAGGGTTTAGGGCAATGTACTGTAGTGGCCTCGGAAGTATAGTTGTTTAGTGACTATAAGGAGATACTATCAGAGGATCCGCCAGTGAGTTTCTGTAGTGGTCTAGGATCTATAGCTTGAAGGTCTAGGGGTGGAGTTTTCTGAAGTTTAGATATATCTCTGCTTTTGAGGATGGTCCATACTGCATAGGGGAACTTCTGCAACCTTAAGCTAGCTAACTGCTAAATCCTGCCTGAAAGATCTGCTGCATGTGGACAACTCCTCCTGTGCGCCCCTAGCCTCGAGTCTCGAGGTTTCAAGCTTCATGTAGCCTGTGTGTTCTGATTCAGTACCGTCCTTATCAGCCTGTAGATATGCCGACTGCGAGCCTGTGCCTCATCTGGCGATACTGAGTGTGAGAGCCCTAAACCCTAAACCCC